CATGGAAAGAGATGATGATGAGAGTTTGATGATGAAGAATAAAGTCGAGGCAGGCTGATGAAGTAAGGAAGTGATTACCGGCGGCCTCAGGAAACTAATCCGGAAGAGTGGGGCTGCAAGTAAAGCCGAAAGACACATGTGAGGCGGCGCCCTGGTCGCCCGGGCGCTCGCCAGCTTTGCCCCACGCTCGCCTTTGTCGGCGTAATTGAGTCAGGCGGTCGTCGGTGCGCTCTTAATTGCGTGTTTGACATTATGAGAGACTCGGAAAAAAAAGGGGGAATCACCGGCGTCTGATAATGGGAAGAGAAAGGAGCGAGATGAAAGACCGAGGAGGAGCAGGAGGCTAATGCCTGTTTACGGGATGAGTTTTCACCAGGAGACGCTCTGAAAGCTGCACGTTTGTGTCGTTTGTACGTTGTTGACTTAAGGAGCTGAATCAGCAGCTGAACCTCACATACAAATATCCAATATGAGCAGCATGTAAATACCACATGTAAATGCATGTGGCCGGGGGGCACCGCGGACCACATGCTCGCACGCAAACTGCAAGGACACGACGACGCATGAAAACCCTGGAACAGAGGATGCACAGGAGCTGCGTCACAATCTGAGAAATTAAAATCCCCTGCAGGGCGAACGCAGCACACTCGCACACGCTCACTTACAGAAACGTATTCTGCCGTCTTCGTGGAGGAAAAATATGTTTTCTATCAATTAAAGTCAGACACGCTGCTTTTGCGGCATGAATATTTATGAGTTGTTTCCAGGGCGATGTTGCGTAACTCGGAAGCTGTTTATTTTGGGTCGCTGTTGGCCTCGCGTCAAGTATCATGATAGAATTATAAAATGGATGCACATTGTGCTGTGTGAAGGATAATTAGTCCGTCTCTGTCCTGCCACTGTCTCGCCTCTTTATCTCGTCGCTTTCTTTATTGTTCTCCGTGTCTTTTTACATGTTTTTTTTTTTTCCTTCACTCTCTCCCACACAAACCAAACTGAACCGGCCTCGTATTACATGTGTTTTGTTGTGTGCAGGTTGGAGAAAGGTTCCTCTTTTTATATTTACATATATATATTTTGCAACTTCTCAGTTCTGATCTCATTTCTGCAATCACAAATGCAAAGCAGCTGTTCCAGGTGCAGGGATGCATGCAGACACTTGTCACACTTAGTATTCGGAGCCAGTTTCGATCTCCTAATGTTGATGTTTTGCTACTTAGCAGCCAAACACAGCGAGGTTTTGTCCCTCACTTCTACCTTTTCGGTGGTGGCTTAGCATAGAAACCAAAGAGATGTTATATTCACGCTCTGTTTTTCTGTTTCAGTACCGTCAAGCAATGTGTAATTGCTTGCGACCAATTAATTGGGACCATTAAATGCAGTTTAAAGATAATCAGCCAATCAGCGTCTTAGCATCGGCTAATTACCGGTGGGACGGCTAACAGGGGCTACGTTGGGTTATCCGCTAGCGATAGGAACAGAAAGTGTTTATTACAAACATCAGCGTTGCTGCGTTGATGGAGCACGACTGAGAAGAATCGAAGCGAGAGGCTAAATTTCATGGTTTTGTTTTTGGGTGAGAAAAGCTGCACGAGGAAAGAAAACCATGAAAAGGACCAACAGATGAACCAAAGATCTCGCTAGCTGTCTTTTATCCTGTTTTAAAAACTCGAGCATCTACAGCGATAAAAGAAAACACTTGGCAGCAATAATAAAAACACCAGATAGTCGTATAATAGTAAAAGCAATTACAGGGAACGTTGCTCTGCAGGATGACTGCTTTTATTTTTCATAACTCAGCTCGATCGGGCTGATAACACCTGCAGACTTTCACCGAACGAAGCTTTTAAACGCAGGACTCTAATTTAACCACGTACTTTTGTTTTCTGCACAACTTACTCTTCTTCATACTACATTTTTCTGCGTCTTGTGTAGAGTTCAGAGCTAGCATCCATTCAGTCTGCCTGGATTTAACAGAGAAACCAATGAAGTGTAAATATTCAGCTGGGAAGTCGTGTCTTTGCACTCCTGCGATAGCACGTCCACTACAAATAAAATCTAAAATTAGCAAGGAGTTTTGCAGAACAGGTGCTTGAATAGAGTAAACAATTATCACAATTTAAAATAAGCCGATGCACAGAGGCATCCGGTGCTATTACATGAGCGAGAACAAATCCAAATCCTGCAGCACGTTCCAGACATTTTGGAAGGAGATAGATTTTGAAAATGGCCAAAAATGGTCATTTTTGAGTGAAAATGGCCCGACATGCTTGCTGTTTTTCCAACATGGCGGATTTCCTGTTGGGTTGACAGAAATGTGCTGATGGACTTTTTTGTGCGTCACTACCTGCTACATATGTGTACCGATTTCCGAAGCTCGAACTCAAACGTAGCCGCGATGGGACTCTGAAATATTGTAGGGGGCGCTGTTGAGCTGTGTTCAATTTTAGAGCTTGGAGCGAGTGGACTTTTTGTTTCGTCCTGACCAGCTCTATATATGCCTACCAAATTGCGCAGCTCTAGGTCAAACGTCCTTCTGATGGTAGTCTGTTGAAATTTTCAAGGTGGCGCTGTGGAGCCATTTTCTATTGTATTTCCACCTAATTATAGACATTTTTGCCCGTCCTGATGTGTGTGCCAAGTTTTGTGCAGTTTCGAGAATGTTTAGGGCCTTAAAAACGCGTCTCTTTGTTATGAAGAATAATAATTAGGGTCCGAGCAGCTCCAGTAGGCTCGGGCCCTAATAATCCTCAGGGCTACAATAGGGTCCTTGCACCGCTAGTGCTTCGACCCTAATAATAATCACAGCAGTTCTAATAGGTTCTACCCACTGTAGTGCTTCGACCCTAATAACAACACGGTAAAGGTGCTGTGTAGTTCCATATTTCCACTGAGTGCTCGTATTCACACAGAGTGTTGGAAAGTGCTCTTTTATTCCGGTTGTGGGAGCGAAACCAGGAGGACAGAATAGATTCCCGCCATCGTCTATTATGCACAGCAGCTCATATGCATAAAGGCTGAAGGCGGCGGCGGCTGTGTTGAGTCACGGCGGCCGCTCTTCCTGGCGGCCTCTCGGGTCTGGACGCTTCCTGTCTTTGTGAAGTGGGCTCAGGTTGTAGCACTTACTCCCATCGAGCAGGTGTACAATAAAGACATCTGCTCTAATGCGGTCTGACTCACACCTCGCGCCGCTCCTCCGTCCTTTCTCTGTTTCATGTTTTTTCTTTTCAGGTCAGCAGCAATTTTAGTGACAAACTTTGAGCAAGAAGAAAATGCATAAATCGGAGGGGAAACATAAAAATATGAATCTTCACAGGCTGAAACTCCACGAGTGGGAGGTAATAAATAAATAACACTTGGCCACGTGAAGAGCACTTTTCTCAACATTTGGTTTTCTTTTTTGGTCTTGAGTTTGCATTTACTAGATGTTTGTTTCTCTGGGCGACATGCCAGTGCAAGAAACATTAAGAAATATTCAAAAACAATCCACATTCCTCACTAGGATTATGTTGTAACTCTGAATAACCCTCGCTGCTGTTCTCTCAGATTTGCAGCTTTGTGTCCGCTGAAGTAACAGTTCACGTCCGTAGAATCGTAGCTATTGTAGGCTCAAAGCTTTGTTTTATTCTCCGAGCCACGAGGATTTATATGCCGCAGCCGCTGCAAGACGTGCTCACGCTCTCAGGGTCGTGCTTCAATGGCAGATGGGCGCCCAAGGACACGCACACACACATGACCAGAGATGTTGTGAACTGTTTAACTCCAGGGAGGCTTGCAGCTGAGTCCACACGGATCCCAGCAGGTCGTCGTTTCCTCCTACGGAAGGTCGTTGATTAACTCGCACCGAGAAAACGCGCTGTTGTGTTTCCCCGTTTACTGTAACCTCACGTTTTACACAGATTTCAGGATGCTTATTTCACAGTAAAGGTTATTGTGGAGCTGACGGCTAACGCCACGTGTCCGGTTGTGTCTTGTGTTAGTTTCCTTCCTCCGGTTCCAGCTCACCTCGATGTTTTCCACAAGACATCAAACACACAGAATGATTCCGGTTGATGTATTTAAAGTCAAAACAACGCCGGCAGAGCTGCGGTTTGACTGCAAATCATCATTTAAAATGCAAAACACATTTCCTTCCTCCCACATCTCCCTAATATCACCAACGCACCGGTGGCGACCTGTAAACGCGGCGCCGGTCGGTTGGGCCCGCCGTATTCCCAGCCGGAGCACAAAAGATGTGTCACAGCGTTTGCGTCTTCGCTTCACAGCGGCGGGATGATGTTTGCTAATAAGACGCCTCCTGCCCCGCGGCGACGTGCCGTTCCTCAGTCTTCGTCTGTCATTATGTGGTTTTTTAAATCCACGTACCGCCGAGCGAAGGCAGCTTTTGAGCTTCTCTCCTGCTCAGAGACCGGTGCGGTGTCATCGTCCTCCCGCCGCCTCGGCCTCGGCACCCCGCTATGTTTGTTTTTCATTACTGACCCACATCCTCGTGGGGGTAGAGTCGAGTCGACGCCCCGGGGCCGGCGTCGCCACGTGGAGCCGCAGATGATATTCCGGCACCGCGAGCCTCCTCGTTGTGCTCCTCTACATCTGCCCTATTTCCTGGAGCTGATGTAACTGCAGAGTAGCGGGGTTGGGGGTTAGCGTGTCCCCCGAGACACCGACGGGTTTGTTTTTTTTTAGTGATCTGGATTAGAGGTGGGCGAGTTTTCGTTTGGTTTCCACCTCGACGACAGCACCAGAATAAAATATCGTTTTATTAAATAAAGGCAGAAAATATGCAAAATGTTTGTTTGTTTTCATTCCCAGTGCAGCCTGCCTCCTGAAGGCTTTTAATCTTTAATCAATTTCAAAAAGAAACCCCTGAAACGCCTTTCTTCCCTGAATGTTTGGGCTTTTGGTGTCAGCATCGGTCAAACGCCCCCCAGGGGGCAGATGAGCGACCGCTTTGGGCGTCCATATTAAAACCTTACCGACCTTTTCCCGTTTCCCCCCCGCAGGGAGGAGGAGGAGAGCCTGCGAGACAAGATCCGCGCCGACCACGAGCGAGCGCTGCAGGAGGCCAAGGAGAAGCTGCGGAAGTCACGCGAGGAGCTGCAGGCGGAGATTCAGACGGAGAAGAACAAAGTGATGGAGGACCTGAAGAAGAAGGACCCGGGGCCCAAGCCGCTGCCGCCCGTCCCCATGCCCAAGGTGGTGGGCGTGAGCGACGGGGAGCCGCCGGAGCCCGACGTCAAGGAGAGACGCGACAAGATCAGAGAGGTAGGACGGCCGTCCACTGCTCACATCCTGTCAGTGCATCGGTTCGGTTTTATGTTTGATTCCCGTCACCAGAGTGGGGCGTGTTGTCCTACTGGTTTGGCTCAGAGCTGCAGAGTCGCTGTGTTTGAGCTTTTTATGAACTTTTTAAAATAAAAATCCAACATTTAGGAGGACAAAATGTTGTCGTTGAAGCGTATTACACTTAAAACCTCGTCCTACGTCCTTCCTCTGCAGCCGATTTAATTTAAACACAATCCGCTGGAAAGAACTCAACTAATTGTCATATATGTGAGGTTTTAGAACAATTCTGTGAAGCTGTACGTGTCAAAGAACTGCAGCTACAGCTTAATATGAGCTTATTTTAGGGTTTGACCAGCATGTATGTTTCTACAGATATCACATGTTAGTGTTTAAGACGACCAACGATCGATATTTGGAACTAAATTTTAATTTAAATCCATTTGTTTACTTTTTGCAGTCGTCTGATTTCCTGTTCCGTTGCATTGCTACGGCTGTTTACACGACTTTTGATGCTTTGCGGGGCATTTTTCAATCCAGTACATTTTGTATATTTTACACTTTATCGTGCATTTTGTGTTTTAGCGTATTTTTCTGTTCTTTTTCTGCTGGTGGTCACTTTTATGTAGCAGCAGAATTTCCCGTTGAGGATCAATCAGGTGTTTCTGTAGCGCTGCAGGTGGGACGTTACTGGAGTTTTGACTTCATAAAGAAAGAGGCGAGAGCAGAAGGAGCACATTGAAGTTAATTTATTTTAGCGGAAATAAAATAAAAACTCTGATAGTTAGAAATAGGGCTGAATATTGGATGGGTAAACCTCTAGCATGTTTAATATTTGGCGTGCTGCTCATCTGAACTCATCAAACTTCCTCTCTGGATGTTGAGAAAAAGCAAGTGATGATTTGAACACAGGCACTGCTCATATATACACAAAAAAAGTACTGATTTTAATATATTTATAGCAAATAAACTTGACATTTACCGTTCGCAGTTGTCAGAATTGAAGCAAAAGCTGCCGCTGCTTCTTAATGTCAGCATATTTTAGGGCACAAATACCAAATATTAGTATTTAAGGAGGCTAATAATGGATATTTGGAGCTGAAATTTTGGTTATTTCAACATTTTTAAGAACACTCCATGTAATAAGTCCAACTCAAAACTTAATTTATATGCACTTGTTGACTTGTGTTTCAGATCTGTTTAATTAAAAGAAGTTTTGGATGTTCAGCTCAGTGTGGATGGAGTGTTGCAGGAGTGCAGCACGATTAATTTATTTTACATTAAGGTAAAATATCTGAAATGATTGGTCAAACTTTATCGATCTCTCTGGATGCAGACGAGGCCTGAAAGAAGCAGGACGAGAATAAATAAAGACGTAGTGAAGCTCTGATAAGACGATGAACCTACGTGTGGATTTGTGTGTTTTATTCTCGTCAGGACTGAGCGTGCAGGCTAGTATCTGGCCTGAAACTCCCTCTGTGGATACTACCGCTGATGTTCGTGCTCCAGCGCGAGGCTCACGCAGAGTTATGTGCATGACTCCACGCCGACAGTTTGGCAAACATTCCCTAAATCGGCGCCGTCACTTCGCATTAAAATCCCGCGAAGACCGTCTCGGGTGAAGAGTTGTAGCCACGGGATTTGGTGCGTGGCGCGATTTAAAGCCCAGCGTGTGCGAGCGTTAGCCTCGCTGTACGCCGTGTCGGAGCGGCCCGCCGTCTGTCTCAGCGCCAGCGTTTATGGGAGGCGACGGCGAGCCAGACGGACCGTACATGTGCAGAATGCAGATGGTGCTATCTGGTCCTGCTCTCTATAGACGCTGAGCCAAGCCCCGGTATCTCCCTCTCCTCCCTCCCTGCCTCCCTCCCCTGCAGCTTCTCCTGCATAATTACCTCGTATCGGCTCTCTTGAAGCGCCACTCGGAGTCAGAACACTGGGAGCCGGCCCATTCACTCCAAACCCGCTTTTGTCTCTAAATGCCCCTTTTGTGTCCCGTCATAATTACCATTCACAGAGAATGCCGTACACTCCCAAATGAGCGAGGAAGCAGCAGCTGTATGGGCTGCGGCGGCGCTGCACACTCCGCCTTTTCTTTCTTTTTGTTTTTTTGGGGTTTTTTTTTTCCCACTGATTGCCTTGTGATTCCAAGGAGGACGCATAATCGCACACCGCAAAACAATCGTGACCGTACGGCTGGAGCTCTGCTGCTGTCTGCTGCAGGCGGATTTGTTGTAAAGTCGAGTCACGAGAGGTGTTTCGGCTCGCATCTTCTTGTCGCTGTTTGTTTCATGTAGACTGTAATCCCCACATTACTGGACGTGGACTTGCATCGACCGTGCAACAAAGGTTTTCTGAACTGTGTAGTGGAGCTGCATGATATTGGAACAGAAATTACAACGCAGTGTTTAGTTGTTTTTTTGCATTATGCAGTGCATTGCGTTATGAAAAAACAATAATTTACATTGTGAAAAGCGAACAATGTCCAAAAAGAGGTAAAAATCTGGCAACAAGGTGCCACAAAAATACATAAAAACACATGTATTGGAGCACTATAGCATTAATAAACTGTTAAAATAAAATAATATCTGTAAAATAATTATATTTTAAGCAGATGTAAATGGTTTTTCTTCAATATACAGTATATGGCATTATGAAAAAACTACTTCACATTGTAAAAGGCTGTAAAAAAAAAAAAAAGAAGGTACAAGTCTGGCAACAAGGTGCCACAAAAATATGTAAGGATTGGAGTACTGTGACATAAACTGTTAAAAAAATGTGGAAATAATAATCTGTAAAATCTATCTATTTTTTTGCAGATTTAAACAGTTATTCTTCAATATGCAGCATATTGCATTATGAAAAAATAGTAATAATAAAAAAACATCTAATAAAGTGATATTGTTATATGAAAAAACACAACAAGTAACTTAAACAGTAAAGATATATCTGTAAAGAAATCTGGCAGCAAAGTGCCACAAAATGCATTAAATGATGGAGTACTGTAACATTCAAAGACAGTTAAAAAAAAAATAAAAAAGGTCAAATCTAGTAAATATCGGTAAAATAATTGTGTGTTTTTTTTTGTCCAAGTTGATTTAAATGCAGTAAAACAGTTTAATTTTATAGTCGCATGTTGTTTTTAAAAGGTTTTATGTGGACGTTACGTTCAGTTTTGTCTTCTTTTTAAAAAAAATAGTAAATATGTAAAATTCAGTTTTTGTTTGTTTACTAAATATTATCGATAATCTAACAAAAGAGGTAAATCTGTAAAATAACTGTAAATTGGTCAAAATGTAAATGCAGTATTCATCAGCTCAGACTTTTTTAAGATACGTTGTTTTACCTTCAAATAGCCACAAATATCTGTAAAATACTTTTTCCTGATTTAAATACAGTAAATAACAGTAAAATTTTATGGTCAATTGTTGTGAAGAAAACAAACAAGTTACTGCTTGTAAAGATACAGATGTTTAATGTGGACATTAGAGTTATGTCAGATTCTTTTTTTATTTTTTGTTTCTATTTAACATATAATTTAATAAATCTTTTGGTGATTTCACTAATTTAACTAGAAATGATTTGCAATTTATTGAAATGAGGTAAATATGTAAAGTGGCAGAATTTTTTAAAAATAGTGAAAAAAAAAGAAGCCATTTTTTAATCTTAAATACGCATTTAAAAAATAAAAACACATATCAGTAAAATACCAATAGTGTTTTGCTCATTTTAACAGCGTACAACAAATACTTCTACATATGTATTTCTTGCTATAAATCATGCTTTTTTCCCCCCGAGGGCGATTTCATAGCTGCTAGCAAACAGAGTAGCTCATCGGGGAACAATCTAAATGGTGTCCTTTTCCTTTAGCCGCTACATTGTGCAGTTAACTTTATAATGATAATTTAAACCAAAACTCGTGTTTATTACAGTTTAGGTCGAAGCAGAACCACTGTTTTCCTCTCAGGCGAGTGGCGCTGAGCTTGTGTGGATGGATCAAAACACGCTAGCGTCGGAGCATAAATGTCATTCGATACTAAAACACCGAAAGATTTGAGATTATTTTCACGGAATCCTACTTCATTGATGTAATTTGCTTTATTAGACGATCGTGGTAAATGATACTTGTCCTTAATTAATAACGTTATTCCGCTGCACCTTTCTATACGAGCGTCCTAGCGGCTCTCATTAGCGCTGCGATCTGTAAATGAGATAACTGCTGCTTGCTGATTAACCGGAGTTCTGAGCTGCCGTCGGTCCGGCCGGCAATCAGGGAAATTGTTCACATCCAGCATGGTCCCTTTTTTTTTTCTTTTCTCTTTTTCGCTGCTCTTTGGGCCAATCATGCAGCTCGGGGCCCCTTTTGTTGCTCCAGAAATAGAAACGAAGTCGCTTTTATGCCTCGGAAATACATATTTTATTGACTGTACGGAGCGCACAGAAAGGCCCGGTTCCCCGCACTTCCCGGCAGCTCCGTGCTCTTTCGCTGTTCTGCTAATTACGCGGCCCAGACATTAGTGGCCATTAAAGCCGTGTCTGGAGATAGAAAGAGCTTTGAGGCAATAAAGGGGAAAAAGGAATGGAATGAGTTCTAGCATTGACTGTTGCGGCGCTATTCACCTGTCACGTCATGAGGTAATGTTGGCCCAGAGCTGTTGAAATAAGCCGGCTGTTGCAGTTAATGGGCTCCGGTTCAAAAGTACAGTTCCTCTTTTTTTCTTTTTTTAAGTTAAAAAATAATTTATTATTAATACTGGAGAAAGCTCTTGCTCACCCAGACGATCGGTGGCGTGCATAGCGGGGCTGTCACCGAAGGCTTGTGATAGCGGGATGCTGCTTGTTTTCTGTATTATTTATAGCGCTGTGGGTGACGATAAGAACAACATGTGGAATGGAAACTTGTCTGCTGCAGCTTATGGTGGGGGAAAAAAAAAGAAGCAAGAGTTGTGTCTGCAAATATTTTGTGTTTGAGTCGGATTATCTGG